TCTGGGTTGCGCTCGGTCTGTGCCAATAGTAAATCCACTCACAGCGCTTACCGCATGCGTAATTTCTTCCTAGGAGGGTTACATGTCATGAATAATTCCGCATTGCAGACTTAGGTTCTCGTTCTATTTTCCCTTAATTTAACCAGTGATAATTTGGAGAAGTAGCTGATGAAAATGAGCAGCCGTACGTGGATTCGACCAGTCGTATCCATAGCCATCTCGCTATCCACTAGGCACTGTGTAGCTCGAAACAAGTAAAATGCTTTATGTATTGTACTATAGTTGAGTACTAACAACATGCTGTTGATGTCATTGTCCGTTCTCATGGATACACATGATTATTCATGACATGCTAACCTCCTAGGAATAAAATGCGCTTACCGCATACGTCCTAACAGTACATAACGCGATGCAATCACCATCATGTTAAACGTACATGTACATGTTATTTTCAAGTGATGCAGCTAACTTTTGCACCACATGTATGCACATGCTCTGCAATACATGCACACACATGTGTACAATGTACGTGAAATACGCGTGTTGTACAATGTACATACAGTGTGTGCGCATTGTTATACGGCACTGAAGTGGAACGCGCGCTGAAGTGTACCTTGTCGGGCATCTGGGAAGGCGTAAACTAAGTGATTTTCGCTACTTTTTTTTTCTTTTAAGATTCCGACTTAAAGCAATTCCGACTTGAGTTAAGTCTAAGCGAGACTGCACTCTGTACTGGTCTCTTTTTGTCTGTGCATTCTAATTGTTCCATTCGCTGAAGCAACATGCGCAGTACGGTCAAAGGTGATGCATAGATGGAATGTGGGGATTCCCCTTTTCCGTGACCGGTCGCGCGTTGGCACTGCTGGTATATCACGTGACCCTCTCGTACAACTTGTAAGAGTGAACCGTGTTCAAACATGTAGTGTGTCACTAACTCGTCATCACAACGGACTTCAATTTTTGACATTAGTATTTTAGGCAAAATTCAAATAATGGTTGTGTCCAAAAAAATAGGGTTTTTTTACATATGGAATTTGGATCAGGAAGATTTTGTCCTCCACCTTTTTGTAGACCTTTATGCCCTGCGAAGAAAAATATAAATTTTCGTCCAATTTCGCAAATTCAAACGTTGGTTTACGAACTTCAATTTTTCAGATATTGAAGGACACGCCACGCTATCATAAATAACTTTGTTTTTCAAGGATGTTCAACATCAAGTGTAATTGTTGACATGCGTCTAATTTTTGAATTATGAAAGCGTGTGAAGCGTATTGCTGTCACGTCCTATTAAGAGAAAAATCACGCAATTGTATGAAACGTAATTGTTCCGTCATAATGACGCGGGTTTTTCATTACGGGTGCACACCGGTAAATCGATCCGCCAAGCTCATGAATACAAGTTATACCCACAAAATATTCTATATTAGAGAGTTCTGAGCGCCGTAAAATTGGAGAATTGAAGAGATATGGTTATGAACCTCTGGCCCGGACTTGGGGCTTCCAATTCTGAGCATTTTGGATGCTCTTGGGCTCGAAAGTCGTGCTATTTTGCCGTGTTGTGGAGGTATCGTTTTTCAAGAATTGCTACTTTTCCGCTTTGGGGAAACTAGGGGTCGTCTTCTTTGGGTGAAAATATCTCGAAAAGTCAATGGTCAACCCACCAAAAATTGAAAAGAAAACGAAAGATGACATGTTGATTATCATTTTTCTGTGCAGCTTGACTACCTGTGAGAGTTTTGGGTATTTTTAAAAGAATTTTGAAGTATCGGCATTTAGCACTAGTGTCTATGGGAATGTATTTGCAGGTATGCATCCTATACAGCATGCATGTGCGCCATGTTGCGTTTAATCAGCGCACACCCCTTAATCGGTCACAATCCAGAGATCAAGAGACGGGTTTTCTTGCTTTACAAGTATCACATAATCAGCACGCGTGACAACCGTATTTACATGCTCACCTGTATTTGGTACAGCGCTTCCAGTTCCAGCCAAACCATCCACACTTCGTTGTGTAGCGCTGAGGGCATCCGTATCCACAGACACTTCCCCTTGTGTACAATTTATAATGTCATTTTCAGTCAATATGGTTTTCACATTTTTATCATGAATATAATACCTTTGAATTTTTGTATAGATAGAAGTTTCCAGAAAGCATGTCAAAACTCTGGCTTAAAATGTGGTCTAACAACACTGGTGAAGAGGAAATACGACAACAAAACTTTATTTATCCATATTTTCAGAAATACTGAGATTTGCGTACAGCAAAATGAAAAAAAATATAGGGAGGATATTATTTTGGGTAAATCCATTTGTAATCTTGTAACTTCAGTACTCATCTTCTGACCGACAATGTAACAATACGAATTTCCTCTTTTGCAACTTTGAGCCGACGCAACTCTGTTCATTTACGATTTGTAATTTGGTAGGCCTACAGTATTTTACGGTATTCGTCAAGAATTTCTGAAAATATGGGGAGTCAGGGTGGCGTAGCGGTACTTTCCTCGCCTTCCGCTGCTGTGACCCGGGTTCTAATCCCGCCTGGGCCAATATGTGGATTGGGTTTTCAGTCCCTACCTGATTCCGTGGGTTTTCCCCAGAATATTCTTCTGGGTTTTCCTCCCACCTCTAAAACTGTAACTTCTTCTCATTGTCTTCTCTCCACAGGTTTCTTCAGGCTTCCGGGCTACAGTGCTTATGGTACTTTTGAGGAATCCTTGGTTTCATTACCAGAAAGAAATAAAATAAATAAATAAAACAATGTCTCACTTTAAATTCTCCTTGCTTTAAACACCATTGCTATAATTCCGCTGAAACAAAATTGAATCATTCTGATATTTAAGAAAATATCACCGCATAATGACCACCCATTTAATCATGTATACAGCCGCTGTGGAAGTGGGTTGACAATAATTCCAGAGTCTTACATTTCATCAAGAAAAAAATATCAGAGTTTTTTCGCACTTGGGACGGAACGACTTACTGTGATTGTGGTAAATGGGCAGCCAAGATGATGACGATAACACAGCCGAAGGAAAGCATGGTTTATCTCCAGATGCCGGAAACCAAAATCGAATCCTCTGAAAAGATTAACACATAATACCACTCAATAGGTGATTGTGTGCGACAGTTCTGGAAATTGGAATTCTTGGGGTTGTTGGGCTGACTTGACCGTCTCTCCCACGGAAGGAGTGTATTTCTTTTCACGAAGAAAGTTCACCCAGATCTACTTCAAACTGGCTCAAATGTATTAGTGCAGACTTCATCATCTGATGGTTATTACTGACAAACTAGCTCACACACGCTAAAACAAAGATGTATACAGACTAGGCCAATACTGGTCGTGTACTGCTTTTTTTGTTCACACGGCTTGGAACTTGTGAGCGTCTCGAGTAAAGACCAGCAGATCTGTATTTAACATCAAGAGTGAAGTAGATTGATAAAATGATAGCACACACATATCCTACATCCGTTATGCGACTATTATGTTTATTTCCTGGATGTGTTTTGTATATTCGTTGGTGTCTCATAGTTTTGATATAGTGCTGTTGATATGACATTATGCTAAATACCTTAATGACTTTATATGCACGAGATCGGAAGCTGCAAACTACATGTATAATACAAAGTAAAAGCAGAACTAACTTCAATATGGGAACTTGGGAACTGGAATTCCACTGAGCTGTTTGTTTCACACTTCCTCTTCCTTACAAGTGTTGACGATAATCGCACTGCCAGAAACACCGGGGCGAACCCCTTCTCTTAGCGATGCACTGGGATCTTTATTGTGCATTATATTATTATACAACACATGGGACCTACGGCGTCACGTCCCATCCGAAGGACGAAGCAAGTGCCTTGCTTAAGGGCACAAGTGTCCCGGCCCGGGCTCGAACCCACGTCACTGTTGCCTCTGAAACACCAGAGCATTAGTGCACTGTTTTTAACCGCTAGGCCATGGCACTTTCCAAGTGCTGTACAATTCAAGTAGGCCTGGACTACTGCCAACCGAAACCTTATCCCCGGAGCTGCTAAGCAGAAAACAACGGTGGTCAGCCGACCACCGTTGGAAAAACCTAACTATTTGTAAACTACTGCTCCAAATTTACCTTTTTTTCAGTCCAAATTGTGTTTGCTATTGGTTACATGTCCATGAACGGGTGCAGGCCAGCTAGACTGTTTCCCTTACCTTACAATTTTCTGGCAACTATAAATTGATCCATTTTATCTTTAGTGGAGTCAGGGAACCAGACTACTTGAATATTCTTGTTTTTCTTGGTTTTTCCAGCATTTCCAAACACAAAACTTCAAACATGTCAGTGTAACAATATTTGATCTATTATACTAGCCCCTCAAATAGTTTATTTTTGAAAATTACAGCAAAAGCCAATGGTGTACACTCCCTTTAAAGAACGTCATGTGTTTGTTCCCATGACAGCTCAGTCTATACTTCAACACAGTTGCGGATCGGCACACCCTCCCCCCCCCCCCCCAACAGACAAGTGCCACAAGTAATTATTTACATAATAGAAACAAGACAAGGCAAGACACGCCTAGTAAAGCAGGTCCCAGAGGGCACACAATTATATTCAATCGATTCAAAATGATTGTTTACTGCAAGTCATTTAAGGGGCGATTCCAGCTTGAGCTCGGAGGGGGGGGGGGGTAAGAGCAGGCATGTACTTTTTCTGTATGATTAGACCCCCTAAACGCCCCACTCCCGTAGATCCGCCATGTGCTTTTCATGCATAATATATACACAGTGTCGGGCGAATTTAGCCCAGTTCTTCCTCCATGGTTTGGGTGATGGGGTATCCTTAGTTGGCCATTGTCAGACTTAAACTAGCTTAGACACACGTTACAGTCAGTGATATAGCGATACAGCCGAAGACGACTAGGCTCTGGACCTTACTTGAGACCAATTCCCTGAATTACCTCATCACTCTATATTTAATATCTAAATTCACTGCTTCAAACATCGGTATGTTTATGTTTTGACTGAAATGCCATATCTAACCTCCAGCCCACCCCCAGCCCCCAGCCAACCCCCAGCCCCCATCCAATCCCCAGCCCCCGTCCAACCCCCCAAGCCCCCACCCCCCTCCCTGACCACCGCCACCACCACCACCCCACCACCACCCCAAAGAAGGTATCTTGGACTTCAACCCCCAGCCAAACCCCTTTTGAAAAATCTCTTAAGAGAAAAATCTCTTTTGAAGAATCAATTACATCTATAATTGATCCATTTTATCTTTAATGGAGTCATGGAACCAGACTACATAAACATAAAATCTCGGATCCGCAACAGCATCCTCAAACTGTTGGGAGGAATTGATCATAATACAAAGAGCGACTGACAGACCCTTGTAATAAAGATTATCTTTGTTAATTGATTGGAAAAACGTTGGGAGAAACGTGTCCGCAAGAAAAAATATTGCCATCTGAAAACTCTCGTTGCAAATGTGCATGACGAATATTCCCAATTTTCCGACATCTATAATTGATCCATTTTATCTTTAATGGAGTCATGGAACCAGACTACATAAACATAAAATCTCGGATCCGCAACAGCATCCTCAAACTGTTGGGAGGAATTGATCACAATACAAATAGCGACTGACAGACCCTTGTAATAAAGATTATCTTTGTTAATTGATTGGAAAAACGTTGGGAGAAACGTGTCCGCAAGAAAAAATATTGCCATCTGAAAACTCTCGTTGCAAATGTGCATGACGAATATTCCCCATTGTGCGCCGAAAATAATTTATTATGCAGGCCAACGTGCATCATTGTGCAAATGACATGCCATCCAACCGTAATGTATGCGCCTGCGTAGTTCCCGGGAATACGAAGCACGCTTCGTGTAGTCCATTAGACGTGAAATTTAACTGATGCTGCATGAGCAGACCAACTTCCTGATAAAGTTTGTGCCGGATTATCGACCAAGACGGTGGGTAAGTACAAATAATTATGTTCAACTTCGACTGTAACGAAAACGTTAGTTGGACTGAAAACTATGGTGGCCCTGAAGGGACATCGCATATCGCAAACGTGTGCGCACACGTGTGCAATGTCGTGAAACAATTCGCGAATATGTGCGCACACGTATGCGATGTCGCGAAATTTATCGCGAATATGTGCGCACACGTATGCGATGTCGTGAAATTTATCGCGAATATGTGCGCACACGTATGCGAAACATATTCGCGAATTGTTTCACGACATCGCATGCGTGTGCGCACATATTCGCGATAAATTTCGCGACATCGCATACGTGTGCGCACATATTCGCGAATTGTTTCACGACATTGCATACGTGTGCGCACACATTCGCGATAAATTTCGCGACATCGCATACGTATGCGCACACGTTTGCGATATGCGATGTCCCTTCAGGGCCACCATACTCACGTGTTTTTGCCTGTTTAGAGCACTTCCTTAATAATGATACATCTGTCACATTCACGGTAAAGTGACCGCAACATATTCTTTTTACAGTAGAAGCTAGTGGTTTTATTGAGGGAACTTGTAAGTACGTGTACCGTTTTGTCTCCTGAGTTTGTAAAGGGTGAGTAAAACAAAAGGAAACCCAAATGACATGACCATTTTTGCAATGAAGTTCTGCATGTAGCACTTTCAAAATATAGCATATAAAAAGCCTAATCAATAAGCTTTCTTTTAGTACAAGAGTCACTCAAATCACTCATGTACTTTTCAAGTAACGGAATTTTAAACGAGGTTCTGTCTATGGATCACAAAAAATAAGTGTCCTTTCAGCAAAACGAATATAATTCAAATAGGGATGTACACGGGATGAATTGTTTTCGTTTTGCTGAAAGAACACTGACCTTTTTCGTGATCCGTGGACAGAATTTTAAAACGGTGTTTGTGTTTAAAACTCCGTAACTTGAAAAGTGCCTAAGTGATTTGAATGATTCTTGTACTAAAAGAAAGGTTATTACTTGGGCTTTCATATGCTAGATTTTAAAAAAGCTACATGTAGAACTTCATTTGAAAAATGGTCCTGACTTTGGGTTTCCTTTTTTTGATTCAAACTTTATTTGTAAAAATACAGGCCATTTTCCTTTGTTGTCCGTCTCAATCGTCGTCGTTGAAAGCAGCGATCAAAGGTAAGAAGACCATCGCACGAATTGTCAAATGTTATGTGGCATTTCCAATATTTACAAATTACAATCCTGCTTATTGAGGGAATGTCTGTACGTGTATTGTAGTTGATTTAGGAGTAGTCCTCTTTAGTTTCTGTATTATGTTCTACTTCTCGAAGAATCTTTACTCGGTAATGGCTATCCAGAGGTGTCTTTTTCTTGGTTACAGCCCGATAGTCCGAAGGTTCGACAGTCCCATTGTTCTTTAGTCCGAAGGGTCATTAGTCGTCCGAAGGTGCAATAGTCCGAAGGTTCGATAGTCCGAATAGACGATAAGGTTCGATAATCCGAATAGATGATAAGGTTCGATAGTCCGAATATACCGTAGGGTTCGATAGTCTGAATTGACAATAAGGCTGATAGTCTGAATTGACAATAAGGCTGATAGTCCGAATTGAGAATATGGTTCGATAGTCCGAATGGGCAATACGGTTCGTCAGTATGACACTATCGGACCTTATTGCCGATTCGGACTATCGAACCTTATTGTCAATTCGGAATAATGAACATTCGGGCTATTGAACCTTCGGACTGATTAACCTTATTCTAAATTCGGACTATGAATCTTCGGATAAATGAACCTTCGGACTATTGGACCTTCGGATTATGAACCTTCGGACTATTGCATCAAATGTTAGGATTAACGAACCTTATTTCATTTTCGGACTAACGAACCCCCTCATGGAAATTTCGTGCATTCAGACTATCGAACCTTCGGACTAAAGAACATTCGGACTATCAGACCTTTGGACTATCGGGCGCCCCCCCCCCCCTTTTCTTCACCTATTGCTACATGTGTAGGTTTATTGTCCGTATTATTCACCAACTTGGATACGACAAAAAATCCTTTATTGGGCCCCTGAAAAAAATATGGCTTAATGTTGGGCTATATAACAGGCTCGGATCCAGGCGGGAGTTTGTGTGGTTAAGTGGCCAACCCCCCCCCCCTCTCCGCCCCGGCCCCGCCCCCGCCCCACGACTTACCAACGTTAATTATTGGCATAACCCTTGCAAGGTTCCCTGAATAAAGTTACACGCGTTATTGAAAATCTCGATTAATTGATTCAGGTCTTTAGTCTTATAACTGCAACGCCTCTTCTACCCCCCCCCCCCTAAAACCTTGGAGTCTTACATCGACACCCGTCGACTTCTTAAATCCTGGATCCGCCACAGCCTGGCGCCTTGTAAGTAGACTATAATTTCCCGTCCCTGGATTCTCATGGGGCAGAACCCCTCTACCCAACGAAAGTTGCGTTATCCACTTCGAAAGCCATTATTCTACTCGTCTGACTAATAAGTATTTCCTTGATTCAACCAATTACTTCACATTTTGTTTCATTTTCTGCGAATGGCGCGTCATGACCTCGCGCATCTCTCTTTCAGTACTAGGGCTTTCAGATCAAGGAAATTCAAGGACAATTACTGTGATTGCTACTTTCTATTCATGTTATTACGATTAGAACCCCTATAGGCAAAAGGGTATAACTTGAAGGAAAAAAAAGGGCATTTCGAGAAAAATCAGTGTCAAATTTCAAGGTCCTCTGTTTTTTTTTTATTTTACCACAAATTAAACCAATGTTTCTACCACGAGTTGTGAATAAACATACATTAGAAATGTCAGTTTCTTGTCCTTGGCAATTTTAAACCAGAAATTTGCGCCATTTTTTTCCATGAAGTATAACAAATATAATAAAAAGGATTATTTTGGCAAAAGGATGAATCTTGAGAAAGCATATCCAAATGCACTATTATTGCACTTCCACTATGCGTATAATGTATACCTAATAACAAGGCAAAAGGATGTATCTTTTATGCCCTTTTGACATGAGGTCACATCCAGCAAAAAACCCAGAATATATCTCAACAGACGCCCTTTTGTCAAAGAAACTGAACCAAACATTCACAATTTTGCACGAGATACATCTGAAAAGGAAGGACATATGGACTTGAGGGTTCGTTGAAGGAAAACAGCGCCCCAAATAACCCCAGAAGTGACTTCATCTCAAAAAGGCCAAGACTGAAGTTACACCCTTTTGCCTTGAGGGGGCCTTACGCGAGCTCCAAATGGACTTCATTCTATCCCGAAATTGACCACTGGGTTGTAGTTTTTCACTTTCAAGATTTGTCTTTTCTCTTTAATTTCAGAACTTTAAATATTTGAATTCGGATTTTCTGCTGCCAAAGCAGGCCATCCACCAAGATGGCCTTGCCGGCAGGGAGGACCAATCTTCGGTTTGGAGTCACCATGCTGAAGCTAGCTCTGGTACTCTCCATAAGCACTAGCTGGTTCAGTCCGGTCCTTGCCAGTTTCATCCGGTTCAAACCGGACACCGAGTACGTCTACACCTTCCATTCCTCCACGGAACTGAAGATGGTTCGGACGCTGCAGGCCGAGTCTAAGGTATCGAGACCATTCAACTTGAGTAAACAAAAAGTCACGCATTGGTCATTTGTTATTCAGAGTTTCCCTCCTGTGTACAATTATTGTTCACTCTAAAATTAATCTTTCACTCTCAATTGTCTAGTATGTTGTATAAACAAGGTTGCATTTTAGGATCCGACATGAGGTTAAATGTCAGAGATCGAGATCAGAGGCTTTGTAACATCACTTCTAGCCTGTATATAACCATGTGGGATTTTTTTCCCGTACGCCCAATAATCGTCTGTTTCTCTAAATCATTAAGGATTGGGATAGGCAAAAGTCTTCGATTACACGATGCATGGAAGCAGCCAAACATTCTGGTTTTTTTCTATCTCTCCACGAGGACTGCGATTACTTCATATGAACTCGTTTTCAAACGCCACAGGAATTTGTTTGATACCTTCTCTGCCTATTGAAAAAGAATGATGATGTTTATTCGATGGTTTGTTGTCGTAGTTTTTGTTCGTTTGTTTGTAAATTTGATGGTTTTTTTGGTTTTTGCAGTACTCTATCTCTATCATTCTTTATCGAAAATCTGACAACGTTGGAGCATCGAATTGAACTGACTTTTAAGTCTAAATGTTGTACTGTACTCCCCCCCCCCCCCCAGTAATTACAATTGCAACAAATCTCCAGGCTCTTGAAGATTTCAATGATTTGCACGCCCAAGTTAACTTTTGAAAACCCGGCCTTGTAGTACAGGCATTATGTGAAAAATTAAGGGATAACCTCAAACAAATTGCAACAGAAACCATTTAAAAGGTTATTACTCAGAAAAATCTCCTCTATAACATATTAAAAGTCTTAAGAAATCCGAGTGGTGGAAAGTAGTTTTCTAATGTGTTTCTTAACCACACCCAGTACCACTTTTTTTGCTACTTTATAATGGAATATTTAGTGATGCTGCAACAATATATTTAATACTAAACACAGAGAGTTGATCTTAATTTATTATTGAGATGCCCATTGACTTCAGAAAAGATCTGTAAATGATTTATATTCATTTATTATGCTGTAATATATATATGCTATCTGCAATATGATATATATATGAATCTATATATAACATATAGGTTCAGTCTATTCTGCTACCATTGGTTTCACGCACACGCACACTGCGTGGCGATCATCAGGCGAATTTACTCATTATTCTAGACCTCGGTAAGTTTCAATATCCCTATGTTTCCCAAATTTGCGATATGCCGATAATAATTTGCATAAATGCCATTTATTAATTTGCATAGATTAAAGTTAAAATTATGGCTGTCATGTGTTGACATGTCACAATAACATTTCCCCTGATAATCCAAGTCCAGTCATGTACATAAATTAATTTCACACCATGGTGCATTGCTATAAGGTTCCTTAAAAAAGGAAAGAAATCCAAGTGGTGGAAATATGCCTAATTTGCATAAATTCAAAATGGCCACTAATTACATGATTTTATATTTGGCCATAACTCTTGTCCTGCATTGCTTTTTGGAGTACTTTGAACAACAATTTGTCCTTTGACATTGATTTCATCATCATTCCAGTCCGAGGTACCTTATGAGATCCTATGTTTCCTATGGGGTATAAGTGTTGGAAAATGTGATATCCCTGTGTCGCAGAGCGAACCCTTGTGCCGCTCTACTCGGACCAAAACTCAAGGAATAACTCAAGAGAACAGAGGATTCAACACAGGAGTTACAAATCACAAAAATCATATTATATATACGGGAAAGAAATAAACCAAAAAACCGCAAACCTCAATCCGAAAATACGTGGGCGATGGTTTTATACCCCTCCCGCATGGCTGCAAGCCCGGAATTGGTATGCAACAAAGGGAAAAGGAATTACGATTTGCATAATTCACCTAGCACCCACCTCCGAAGTTACATAACACTTTACGGCCGTAAACAAATTAGTGATTGATGAATTAACTCAGAAAATAAAAGGAATAATTTTAACACATTTCAGGGACAAAAAAATCCCTACTTTAAATCCACTAGTACACTGCATAGGGATATCACATTTTGCAACGCGTATGCCAACTTTGAGATGAGCCAAAAACCGAACAAAAAAATATCTTTCCCAATTTTTTGATATTTTGTAGCGAACATCTTGGGGTTTAATTTTCATCCAAGTTTGTCTCAATGTCGGGTGATCCACTAGGTCAAATTCAAGGTCAAATTAAAGGTCAAAATGTCATTTTACTTAAAATAACCCCCACATGAAAAAAAAATGGTAAATTTGGATTTCTCATGATGTAACCTTTCAAAAGAAATTAAGATTAACACATTTGGCTCAAACATTATAGAAATATGGTCATTTAAAAATGGCAGCAATGTCCATTTTGACCAAAATTGCCTGGGCGGTAGCGCGAAAACTGTTTGTCCGATGGTGCTCAAACTTAAAATTTCGGCTTTTCAGCCGAAATTACCCCATAAACTAAATATGATCCAATTTGAAGAGGTTGGGGTTTCAAATTTAAAGGTTTTGGGGGTTGATTTGGCACTGAATGGCCCCAAATGACAAAATGTTGTTTAAAGTACCCCGAAAAGCAACTTAGGACGAGAGTTATTACTAGATAGCATATTATGTCATATTTTTGGCCACTGCATTTTTCTTTGCTAAAGAAGGAATTTTTCTCATAATTATTTGGATAGACTTTACCTTCCTTAGCTGGAAATCCATTGGTAACATTTTTTTCTATCTACCATGTGGCGGTCATCTTGGAATTCAAAATGGCCGCCATTTCGGGCCTAATTTGTATCTAACTTCGGACCTAATTGTCATATGAAGTTCAGTTTGGTGGCAAACCCCATGTTTTTGATACCAATGAACCCACGAAAATCATTGTTGATGGGGTATACTCCCAGTGGAGTACCCCATCAACAATGATTAACTTGGGTTCCTTGGTATCAAGAACATATGCAGTTTGCCACCAAAATGGACTTCATACGACATTCAGGTGCCACCTTATTATTTAAATGAAATCAAAGATGGCCGCTATTTTTGAATATCCAATATGGCTGCCATCCATTTGGGATGCTTAAATGTGCTAATTGGATTCCTTGGTATCAAATTTATGGGCTTTGCCACCACCAATAGTGACTTCATACAACATGGAAGTCCAAATTTATTATACAAATAGTTCAGAACGGCGGCAATTATGAAATATCAAAGATGGCTGCCATCAACTGTAAGTACCCCGTCCACAGTGATTTACTTGCATTCATTCAAATACATGGACTTCATAGGACATTCAGGTGCAATGTTATTATAAATAAGATCCAAGATGGCGGCTATTTTGAAAAAAAATCCAAGATGGCTGCCATCCATCTGGGATAGATCATCAGCAATGGGTCATTAAGATTACTAGGTATCAAATGTATGGGGTTTGCCACCGAAATTGACTTCGTACGCCATTCGAGTCCAAATTTATTATGCAAATAAGCCGAAAATGGCGGCCATATATTTGAAATATCCAAGATGGCTGCCATCCATTAAGAGTACACCATAAACAATAATGTACTCAGGTTCCTTGGTATCAAAAACATGGGGTTTGCCATCAAAATAAACTTCATGTGACAATCAAGTCCGAAGTTATGATACAAATTAGGCTCGAAATGGCGGCCATTTTGAAATCCAAGATGGCCGCCACACGGCAGCTGGGAAAAATGTCTTCAATGCATTTCCGGCTTAGGGAGGTAAACTCTTTCCAAATATGGCAAAAATTACTTCTTAAACAAAAAAAGCAAAAGTACATAACGGCCTATATACTATTATGGCCGCGCCAAATCATATGAAAATCATGTAATTAGCGGCCTTTTGAATTTATGCAAATTAGGCATATTTCCACCACTTGGATTTTTAACAACCCAAACCTCTAAAAATATATTTCATATTTAAAGAAAGTAGCACCAAAACTAATAATGACTGGAAATCCAATTTTATAAACTACTTTTTAGATGGTAAAATTACTGAAATTGCTCAATCCGTTCAAATAGTATCACCAATTAAACACATGACCCTAAAACCTCCTTCGCCAAAAAATGCGATTTCAAGAATCGTCGTTACAATTGTCTTCAAACATCACCAGTGATAAAACCTCAGTTTAAAAGTTAACATTCACGGAGTCATTTTGAAGGCCCGTTTTTTTGAAAAAAAAAAAGGATTTTATAAGGCCAAAAAAAAAAAAAGTCTCCGGTTTCTGGTATGCGCGCGCGTCGCCGTAGCCCTGCGCGTCGGCAAAATGAAAAAGTTTTTTTTTCAATAAAAGATGATGTCTCAAAACCGCCAAACTCACTGGTTTGACTGGAATTCTGCCGAGCACAATTTTAACGTGTATTTAGATGGGGTTATGATCGAGAATAAGCTTTATGTGGCCTCTCTGGACACCCATATATTTGCACTAAGTTTAGTCGGGCACCATTTGCAGTCATCAGCCGACATTTGAAGCAAAAAAGTCAAGTAAAAAAAAAAAAAAAAAGCCGCGTCGTCGCACCACTTTTTGGGCAAGCTCCATACCAGAAACCGGAAACTTTTTTTTTGGCCTAAACTGTATATGGTAGGAATTTGTTACTATCAACATACATCGACCCTCATCCCTTGTGGTTCATTTTACTCTGACGTCATGATGACGTCATCGGGTGTAAAATTACAACTGATTTTCGTTAAAAAAATGACCAATACATTGGTCTCAAACAAAATAACCAATTATGTTCATACGTTGTGATCAAATAACATTTTTTTTTGTGTTCGTAAACTCACATGACCTTTACTTCCGGGTCAACCAGAAGGTCAACGTTGGGTAAATTAACGATACAGACAGAAGCCTTGCAATCAAAACGAACCCAATTTCTTTCAACGATTTACTCGATTATGATAAAACCTGGTATGAACTTGAACCCCCGTCCGAAGATATAAAAAAAAACAGGTATCAAATTACAAGCAATTTAAGTGCCAAATTGGTGAAAATAGTTTTAGCTATATCT